CGGCTGCCACACAGCCACTCGGTTTCGCGACTTCCCACGCGGCTGTCTACCGGCGGCTGTAGCGCGCTCGCCGTGACTTCCTTGCCCGGTCCATGCCGTGGCGCAGCTTGAGAACCCGTTGGTGACATCGCCGACAGCAGGTCGACCTGCCCCTTAAGCTCGATGCCTGCTGCGGCACAGGCCCGGATCGCAGCGCGAGCGCTCTTTTCACGGAGGACATTCTTCCAGTAGTACCTGCCCACTACTTTCTTACACTCTCCAACTTGCTGCGTTTTCAGAGAGGCAAGAGGGCGTTGCTCCACGGTCCCCGATCTGCGATCTCGAACGGGCCACTGCAAGGCAAGTCTTTCTACCGATGACCCAATCCATCTCGGGCAGATCGGCTTTCGCGGAGGCCACTCGGGTGCACACGACCACCCGGTGATCTGAGACGCCTGTCCGCTACATTCTGAACAAAGTCCTCGTTTGAGCGGCGGAGGAGCTTGCCCCGTTTCTCCTCCAACCAGCCCGTCATTCCGGCATCGTTCAACATACTTGATCCATCGACCGCCAATGTTCGCTGCCTCCCAAGGAAACAAGAAAGCCACTGTCACCTGAAAACCTTCGGCGCCATTTTCACACGGCGAAAAGCAAAGCTGTTCGCGGGGCAGCTGTCCATCCGCCATCCCGGCTAGTTCACCAAGGACGCTCGTCAGTTAGCGCATGAATGGCTGCCTGCCCGACATAGCAGTTGCATCCTTCTTTGTGTCCAACACAGTGCTCCTGGGTCTGACAGCACCGCAGCGCGTTACTCTTTTAGGGAGTCATACGACAGAACGGTGGTGCCGTCACATTCTCACTCTTCACGTTGGAATTGTAGTCAGACCACCTTTCCTTCAGGCCGACTCACAGCACGGTTCTCGCTTTTCTGTTTGAGTTTCACCACCTCTCGGTGTTTCATCACCCACCCCTAGTGGAAGTGAAACATAGTGAAAACGCAGGTGAAAGCCAATCCTATTGGCTGTTCATCGGGAACTTCCCTAGATGCCGTAAATGTATTGTAATTGGATTACAGATCGGTAATTGACGGATCCGATTTAGTGGTCAAGTACTTGTAATCCGAACAAGTAAATCGTGAGCAAACTGCCATTTTTGGTTATATTATTATGTTTATTTCGAAAGGTCTTTGACCAGCCGGCAAATGCAGCTTGTGAATAACAGCTCTGCATTTCAATAGTTTCATACACACCCTTCTAACCAAAAAGCCATAAACGGCTTTCTAGAGCTGAGCTTGCATCCAAGCCATCCTTATAAGGATGGCTGTACCTATAATTTGGACCCATAATTAAGGACCTATATTTATAGATCGCAGCACAGCCCACCACTTCGATCCAAAAGGATGATAAGAGCCATTAAGCTGCTGATCGTTTATGTACTCATTATATTTTTCTCCCAGATGCCTTCGTTGATCAACGACAAATACATCATGATGTATTTGTCTCATTCGGAAACCAACGTAGCCATCTGTAATCGCGTCCAACAACAAACCCTATTGACGAATTCAAGGTTTTGGGCTCATTGCATTTAATTCTAGCAGCTGTCAGTGAAGTGCTAATCAAACATCGTCCTTGTCTATGAAAGCTGTCATAGTCCCTTCACGTTACTTGATCCTCGTCGGCATTATTGAATGTCCTGCAATACAGATCATCTAGATCTTGGAACATGTGCCTAAACTCATGGTTGCTGTCTGGTTCAAAAGTTCAAACTTGGTGTTGACGTTTGCGACACCATATTACGTCTGGTTTTTCGAGTTGTAAACGTAGACATACAAATGCAACTATTCTTGCATATTTTTATGCCGCGTTGAGACACCCAGATTACATGATGATAGACTTGGTATTTGCGGTTGAAGCGCGTTGTATCTACGCGTATTTGCGCTTAAAAATATACTCGCGAAGTACATTAATACGCAAAAAATGTAAAATGCGTAAGCACAGACCCTGTATACATAAAGACAGTACATGCCAGACTCAAAGAACATGGGGAACGGCAGCAATATGCGCAAGGGTGGGCAGAAAACGACCTTCTGTTCTACGACGTCATTTCCGGTGTCGAAGGCGAGGTGCATACGGTGTTGCAGATACGTAAATGAGCGGAGGACTGACCTTTTTTGGCAACTTCGTCATGTAACCTGGGTGTCCTAAAGCGCCGCAAAAACATGTAAAGCAACCATTTCTTTGTTTGCACATGCACGGGTAAAAAATTGTCCAAAGCACACGGTCCTGAAAACCGTGTGCTGTGTTATGCGTGTAAAAGTGGTGTAAAATTCGTGTAAACATCGTGTACCCATCGTGTTTTGATCCCAAAATAGATGGCTGCCGCTGGTACACGGTTGAAATGGTGTAAAACCGTGTTCTTTATCGCGTTGTTCATGGTGGTAAGGTGGACCAATTTCGTGTACTACACAGGGCTGAAAACTACACGATTTTAACAATCGCGTAAAATCGTGCTCCGAAGTACCCGATTTCCACACGATTTTAACGCGAGTTCAAACGATTGCACACCGTGTGGAATGATCGAATTTTTACCAGTGATGTGCGCATTTAAAAGCTCAAACGCAAAAAGTGGAGCCGTAAACGTAAAAACCATGCTTGCATGATGAAGAAACAAATGATGATCAGTCCTGCAATATATTACAGCCATTACAGTGCTCCCCGTTAGCGCGACGCGTCTGTATATACAGACGCGTCGCGCTAACGGGGAGCACTGTAATGGCGCCATCCCATTCATTGGTGCTAACTATCATAATAGTTACTACATATATGGGTGGGAGGCGGCAGGACTTTAATTCCTGTCAATCCCTCAAATTTTGGGTTTTCAAATGAGCACAGATGCAATCTGGAATTTGTTGATAAGTTTGATAAAGGAATCTGCGCCACAGAAAGTATAGGAGTTTGGAATAACAGTGCTGTCAGTACAATTTGCCCGGATAATACGTCAAAGATATGGAATGTTCAAATATATGGCGTACAATATAAAACATTAGAGTTGTGAATACTTGTTCCACCAGCCGGAAACGCGAAGTGTGCAGCTTGCGTATCACAGCAGCCACAATCAATCCCAAATAAAAATTGATCCAAAATTTTATGCACACAAGGAAGAGAACATTCCCGCGAAGCCCATTGACCGTTTAAATAGTTTTGCGACAGTTGGTAGCTCGTTATGCGGAGGGTCTGGTGGCAGAGAAATGAGTGCCAAATCCAAACTCGCATCCCTATCTATAAGCACACACCTAGTGTAAAAAAATCTATGGGAAAAAAGCCACATAATTGTAAATCACCTTTTTCACTGGGATTCGTATATTCCTACCTCCTGAAGAACGCTCTGCTCATGCTCCAAAAAGTGACGCCCTTCAAATATGTTCCTCTGGCCGGAATTAAATAGCACCTTTTGTTCGAGAGGCCAAGTACATATCGCACACTTATCTATTCTTTAACAAATTTTCGATAACACCTAGTAAAAACACATGCAATGCACTGATAAAATTGTCTAGTAAAATATTAAGTATTGCACAAACGACAGTACTTTTAATCCGCACAGTGCGGGCGCAAAATCGAAGAATCAAGGTCAGGGCTGGGGAGCCCGAAAACGACCCCTGAAGAGGGTGGCCTTGCACTTGACATTGCGCACCAAGAAGTGAATATCTGCTGCAAGCGTTGAAACAACCCGATCGTCGATCCCCACCGTGGATTTCATTGTCCAACAAGATGCATATCCCGAGTTTTGAAATGCGAAAATCGGCCGGGCTCACGATCGAGGTGCCTTTCAGCGCACTCTGCCACCACTGACGAGGTGCGCGACGCTGGCGAAGCCACTGCGAAATGTCTGGAATGAAGGCGTTCTGATCTTTCTGCACAGGGAACAGAAAGATTGCCAGAAGTGGTTTTCGCGGGCACACGCTCCGCAGACGGCTGCCGGGGCTGTTCACGACGCTTTGAAAGATGCCATCGTCCAGAGATTCGGGCACTAACTTCGCAGGATACTGGCAGGCTAGCCGCACAAACACTGAGTACCTCAATCTGCCCATCGAAACGTTGCCCGGCCGAGATTGGCGGAGGTCCATGAATTTGCTGAGGTCGCACAGCGTTAATTTGCTGAGTTCGTTTTCCGCCACAGCGGCTTGTGCATCTGGGGCCGCTCGACGCCAGGAGCAGGCCAGAGACCCTTGCATGGTGGTTGGGGCGTCTCCACACATTCTTGGCACCGTTACGTTTTGATTATTGCTCTGCTCATTGTTGCTTTTTATTATCACTAGGAAGAAAAGGGCCAAATAACGCGTTTTGAAACACGCACAAAGTTTACGGGTTTGGGTTATTTCCGCTTTTTCAGCATGCAGAACACTGATGAAATGCATATATATGTATTCTCAAAAATTGTTAGTTGGTGCTTTTTTGTCTAGTGTATTGCTTTTGTACCTGCAAAAAAGGGGCAAGCGTTACGCTACCATGCGATGGGGATGAATGTTTCGCGGTAGTTCCACTCTGCGAGCCACATTCCGTGCTGTTGGTTTTGTACCCCTTCCATACAGGAAAATTTTACCGTTGCGCTTTTGGCTCCGCATTTTGTTTTTCAGAACGTTATTTTTACGTTGCTCCACATATATTTTACTAAAGGGCGTTATTTATATTGTTGTTTTATCCGCAAAAGAAACCCAAACGTTACGTTACTATGCGCAAGGGCTTAAAACCTACGGTATTGCTATGAAACCTATGCATTAGACTCCCCGTGGATACACCCAATACACCTAATAATACTCTACACTGGCAAAAATTCAGGCCCCTGTATGCAGCGCCCGGTCCCAAAAGGCCGCGACCTTATCCTTGCTCTCATACACCCAAGCCGCCCCCCCCCCCGCCCTCCCAGCCCCTGGGCCACCGTCCAGCCGACGGCGCACAGTCCCCAGCCGCCAATCCACCCCAGGGACTGGATTTCACACCCTCCCCGCCGCGGCCGGGGCGGCCATGGATCGTGGCGGCCTCTTGTCGGCGGCGGAGGGGCCGCTCGCCGCTGTGCCCCCCTTGAGGCCCCGACCCGGTCGGCACCAGCGGCGGCATCATGCGGGCCGGGGTGGCCCGGCCAGGGCGGGGCGGATCCCAGGAGGAGGCCGGGGCGGGCGCGATCGGAACCCGGCCGTGGCGGAGGGCGCGGAGGCGGCGACGTACTCCGGGAAGGCGATCTCTCCGCCGGACTCCGGCCGGCACTTCCTCCACCTGGACGATTTCAGCAGAGAGGAGCTGGGCGAGATGCTGAGAGTGGCCGGGATGGCCAAGGAGAAGTTTAGGGCGAGGGACGAGTCGTTCAAGCCGCTGATGGGGCGGACGATGGCCATGGTGTTCACCAAGCCGTCCGCCCGCACGCGGGTGTCCTTCGAGACGGGCTTCCACCGGCTGGGGGGCCACGCTCTCTACCTGGACCCGCAGAGCATCCAGATCGGCAAACGCGAGCCCACCAAGGACATCGCCCGCGTGCTGAGCGGCTACAACGACGTCATTATGGCCCGCCTGTTTGCGCATGAGGACCTGCTGGAGATGGCGCAGTACGCCCGGGTGCCGGTGATCAACGGCCTGACCAACTACAACCACCCGTGCCAGATCATGGCCGACGCGCTGACGATCATCGAGCGTAGGGGTGCGCTGGAGGGCACGCGGGTGGCCTACGTGGGAGACGGCAACAACATGGTCCATTCATGGCTCAGGTTGGCGGCTGTTTTTCCCCTCACCTTCGTCTGCGCTTGCCCGGAGGGTTATGAGCCGGACCCCGCCACCGTGGCGGCTGCCCAGGCCGCGGGACAGTCGGAGATCAGGATCAGTCACGACCCCGCGGAGGCCGTTTCCGGCGCGGATGTGGTCTACACTGATGTCTGGGCATCGATGGGACAGAAAGATGAGGCGGAGCAGCGCCGGCGCGACTTCCAGGGCTTTCAGGTGGATGAGGCGCTGATGGATCGCGCGGACAGTGAAGCCCTGTTCCTGCACTGCTTGCCGGCAGAGCGCGGTGCGGAGTGCACGGACGGGGTGGTGGAGGGCCCGCGGTCGGCGGTGTTCCAACAGGCGGAGAACAGGATGCACGCGCAGAACGGCGTGCTGATCCACCTGCTGGCGTCCTGAGGGGGGACCCGCCCAAGCCAGGGGGGCAAGGGAAGAGCTGGCCTACCCCAGGTGGCTTGACTTGCCGGGGAGGTGCATGGGCAGGTGCTGGAAGCGGGCACTGGAGTGCATTCGAAGATTCTTGACCAAGTGGAGGAACAAAATGTGTCATGCGAGGGTGCATTCCGGTCTGCAGGCATTGTTTTTGGTCAGGGGTTGACGCTGTGGCTGTGCGACGCATTCGTGGTTTCGACCATGAGGCCTTTGGTGGTTGGACAGGGGCGCTGTTTAGTCCAACGGAAACACATCAAGCGAACCCTCCATACAGAGCGCAAGTGGAGGCTTGACATAATTTTTTATGGCCATGTGCATGGTGCTGGCAAAGATGTAGGCAATGGTTATGGATCCAAGTTGCGGAAGCACGGATGTTTGTGGGGGTGTGCATTAATTCCCTGCCATAATCTGCCATTTATTCTGTTGTCGATTCTGCAGTTTGAATCCCATTCCCCTGCTTGCATTCATTTGAAAAAAAGTCAGTCAGCCAATGTGATTTCAATAGCAGGAGATCCACATAGACACCTGTAGCAACGCTGCGGAGGAACCAGAAGAGGATCGGAGCACTGGCTGTCGCTGATGATTGCAGGATCATTTGGCATAATAAACAGCTCAAAATGGCCATATGCAAAGCTCTATTGGCAAACAATTGGGTCCCAGTGCGAGTCCACAGATTGCATTTGCCAAATGGGCACGAGCAACAAAGCCCTCGCAAGAAGGGGTTTGCTGGCTGCCATGCCGTCCATCTTTTGGCACACTATGCATCTTCTTTCAGTCCATGGAGTCTCACAGCGGCTTATTCCAGAATAGACATCTCGATACCTGGCACATTCATAAGGATCACAGCGTTGATCGAATGGCAACTGTTCGACTTGAAACAGTACACAAAGCAGAACATGCAGGAAAAAACAAATGTCCAGGTAGGGAAGGGGGGCGTGAAGAGCTGGCCATCAGCTTCACAGGAGGTCAAGTTCGTAGTGGAGTTCGCAAAGGTGATTGGCCATAAAAAGTATATACATCGTTTCTGGGCATTGCTTTTAGTTGTCACGTGCTGCCTGGAAGGGGACATGAACTTTGCCAAACTTCAGTGTGGGCAATGGCACTGGTAAATCCTCCTTAACTCCACCAATCCCAACCAAGGGTTTGCTAAAATGTCTGCAAGACAGTGTGCAAGGCTCAAGAGCTGCACAAATGCCAGGGTGGACTTGCAGTAAAGAATGCAGAGCCCACATGAACCAAGTCGGTCGGATTTTGTTCTTCACACGCTGTGAGTTGCTGCCCCCATAATGATTGGGCTGTATTTCCATTATCACCGACCAGTGCAGGTCGCCCTTCACTCGTTTCATTAGTGCAGTTTTTGTGCAGAACACGCTGCTGCATCGGCCTGTTGTAAGTTTTTAACCTTGTCTTTGCATGAAAAGCGGTGCCTTTCTGTGGCTTGCTGTTGCGCCATTCGCTGTGGCCGCAACTGGGGGAACCATCCCCTGATAGTGCGCCAAAATGCCCTCAGCGGCTGATGCCTGTGGCTGGGGGACTATTGGGCAGCAGTGTGTTCATCCTCGATAACATTATATGCACGGAATGCCACGGAACCATAACAGTCGTGACAACACCCGTCACAAAAGGACTTGGACAGAATGGAGCAATACAAATGGTGGCGCATGGCACTCGATGGACTGGGCTTCTTGTGGGTGATATGCACTGATTTCTAGTGGGAAGGGAACGTTGACAAATGTCTGTGTAAAAGTGAGCAGAACCGAAACAGAGTGTAAATCGTTGCTCGCGAAATGGAACACAACAGGAACACAAATGAACAAATGATCCGTACAGACCTGAAGCAGAACGGGCCCAAAACAAGGCGACCTTGCAAAATTGCACGGAAACCGAATGCCCGACATGCCGACAGGCACCGCTGTCGGGGGCGGCCGCCACACCACCGAGGCCCCTGGGCCGCGGGGCCACGGGTACAGAAGTAGCAGAAACGATCCAAACATTGTGTGTGCTGCGAGCTGACGCAGCAGCAGGTGAGAAGCAATATACTCACCATTGATGGAAAAATATAAATGGTCAGCACAGCCTAGGTCAAGATGGTCAGCTTGCCGTGTTCATATCCGCACGGGCAGTGCCATCGCGGCGAGGTGGGGGATGTCCAAGATGGGAATAGGCGACGAGTTGTTACACATGTTGCCGAAATATGTGTGTATCTGTATAAGGATACCGAGGATAGTTCAGCTGATATCCAGGATATGAGCAAAGCATGGGAGGTCCCACTCCTCGGATATTGTAGAATATCCGTACAAATCGTACGATTTTTGGAAGATTTTCATGTCTGTGCGCTTTCATCAAGGACAAGTTTTTGGTCAGCACATTTTCGAACAGCAGTGAAATGCAATCCACGAAGAGTTTCTTCGGTTGGGTGTCAGGGACGCCTTTGAGTGGCACCGCGTCACTTCAGACCCATTCCAATCGGGCCGGATGGAAACGGCCTGCATGCAACCAATTTTTTTTGGCTGATGCAGTGTGTATTGGGCCCCTGCTTTCATGCTTTTCTCTCTCGACAGATTGGAATTACTGCAGCTCACGGGCAGTCAATGCAGCAATGATCAATGATCTTTGATTGTCCAGCTCAGCGATTCTCGCCATGACCGATTTGGGAGCTACGAAATGCGGTGGACTGAAAATCTGCAGTCCGCGATGCTGCAGACGTTGTTAGCCGATCCAATTTACATGACGCTGCAACCGGAATGTATGCGTCTATTCACAAAGCGAAAATGCCAAGATTCCGTTGACGGTGGTGACCATAATAAGTCCATATTTTTGGCGCAGTGCCCATATCATGCATATCGGCCCAAATTTGAGAAGTACAGTGGGAAGCGCTCCACCAATGTAGCTCCCGCACTGCATAGATCTGCCCAGGTTTGTTTTTAATGCCGCAAAACTGATTGCATTTACGTTTTTAGGCATGAAACTGCGTAAAAATACGTAAATACAACGTAAATGCAGCCCCGTGTACATAAGGACAGTACATGCGACTTATGGAGTCTGTGGGGTGGCAGCCAGACTCCCTGGAAGGGGCAGAAAACGATCTTTATTACACGCCATCGCCACCCATCTTTTATTACACGCCATCGGCGAGGTGGATACTGTGTTGCTCGTGCTGGAAATGGCGGAGGACTGATCATTGTACACGGCTTTCATCGTGTAACCTGGTTGTCCCCGGGAGCCATAAAAACGTAAAAATGGTCGTAAGAATAGGCCCTTTCGCAAATTTACGTCTTTACGCATAAAAAATTAAACGCAAAAACGTAAACATAAACGTAAATACCAAGCTTGGACCTGCCAGCTTCTGGCGGGCCGCAGATGCCACAAGAGAGCTTCAATCGGCCGCATTTGCCAACGGAGCTGTTGTAGCTTAGGAGGAATTCGTTACAGTCCCCAGCGTTCCTAGCTCGCCAAGCCCTGTTGGCAGGCAATCTGGGGCAGCCCCCAAGGCGCACGACCGGACTCTCTGCTGTGTCCCATTCTCGAACAGATGCCAAAGTGCGTCAAATGAAAAATTTACAACAAAAGTAGTGGCTCCTTCGGATCCAACATTCCCATTATTGCCCCGTATCGAAGAGGAAAACTCCATTGGCGAAATGAACACCGTTCCCAGGCACTCCGCCCCACCACAACGCGGCCTTGTCTGCGTCAACCCGTGACCCGTCCGAATGGTGCCGCGCAGAGGCAACCTGCTCTCTGGCATGACCCATACAGTGCATTACCTTGCAAGCACCCATCATCGTTGGCACTTTCTGCCCATCCCGCGGTTTGATGGGGTTGGAGAACCAACGCCCCCCATATAACATCCGTGCACCCCTACCGCCCTGCAGGAGCAGCCTGAGTCCCCGGAGGGGGATTGGGAGTGGGAGTACCGGGAGCACCACTGTCCGGATTACTACTGTCGGTACCGGGTGTACCGGTCTGGAGCAGCTTCCTGGAGGGTCGTGCACGAGAAGAGAAGGCGGTCAGTCTGCGAGCAGACCTTCCGCAGCCAATATCCAGGATTCCGATTCTGCAAAGACAAAGAGTCTGGCGGAAAGGAAGGGTCGCGGCCTTTTTGCGTGTGTTCTGGGAAACGGCGCAGCAAACAGGAGGCGCCAGGCTGCCTGAGACCGGCTGCGCGGTGGGAGGGACGTGAATCCGTTCCTGTGTCGGCCCCATACAGCTAGATCCCTTACAGGGTACCTCCTCCCAGAACCGAGGCAGGGCAGTGGGACGGCCTGGTGGAAGGGGCGATCCTCAACGGGACATGGGGATGGCGCAGTGCGGAGCGGCCCTGCGCCCCCGCGGCAGGTCCAGGGCCTCGATCCCGAAGGCGGGCGGCAACCGAGCCGCACGGTTTGCAGATGCATCCGCCGTCTGACACAAGTCAGATGGCGAGTCGATGCCGGTGCCGATTCCCGAACAGGGTGCCCAGGTTTTCCTCAACGAGCGCCGATCGGGGCATCCAGTCCGTGGCGACACGACTGCCGGGTTTCCCAACGCGCAGGAATCGTCGCGGGATGCAAAACGGCGGCTAGGAAACGGCGACGCCGTCCCAAGCTGCAGGAGCCACACCCAACCCACACGAGGAAGGACGCGCAGCAAAGCGTTGTGCAGGAAGATGAGATCAAAAAGCGCAAAGAAGAAGGATCCCAGTCCGAAACCCCACAACGCCGGGGGCGCAGTTCCGTCGGCGGGGCTGGAAAACACAGCGACACCCACGCGCAGCCCGATGCGGGACATGCCTATCCTCGCTTGGGCACTGGGAGCGATCACGGCGACGGCCGCCAGCAGAAGAACCAACGCCGCGATCTTGCAGGACGCCATGGCTCGCGTTCTTGGGTAGAGGGCTGCCCTTTGCCTGCAGGTATGGCTTGCTCGCGACTGTCGACCGCAGGCCGTGGATCGCTGTTTGTTTGCAGAGGTGGCTTGCTTGCCTGGCCAGCACCAATGTGCTATTTATAAGCAGCTCCAGGAAGTGTGACGCTTCTGAAGGTGTTACAGGGACACCTGTTTCAGCTGCCTCATGGGTGGAGACACCTCCACTAGTCACAAGACACATCTCACTGGTTGCCATCCTCAGGTCTAGTGGCCCTGTTGGTTTGGCAGCCGCCGCAGCAGGGGTGCCCGATGGCATGATGAGCGTTCCATTTCCGTGCCCTTTTAAATCTGCAAGGAAATTGCGAATGCGCAAGTCAACTTTTGGGGTCCATATTTCCTTCGGGTCCAGAGGAACGTGTCAGGATGCTGTCGTGAACATCAGGACAACGTCTTGGAAATACCCCATTCTACCAATAGCGGTGCCATGCTGTCCAGGGACATCCAGAAATTGAACCTGGATGTATTCACTGTGGACAGGCCTATTGTCTGACGTTCACGTTTTCGGATTGGCGATTCTGCTGCTGACACTGCCCAAAATGAGCGGTTTCGCAGCGCATTGCACGGTGAATAATGTACCAATTAGAGCCCCTGCATTGGGCTCAAACTGGGGATGAATGAGTTCAGATTTGGGATGAATAGGACAAAAGACCCGTCCTGCAGATCTTCTCTTCTTTCCCTGGCGATAGGGTGATTGCCCCTCATCAGATTTTTGTTCCTCCTCCACGTCAACATGGCACACTGAAGGTGCATCCAACCGATCACATCATAGATCACATTACGTTTTGTGCATAAAATAGGCATAAAATCATGTAAACACAGGCATCAATGCCCGCCTGTGTACATAGAGCCTGTAGCCACCTGTGCATGTTGCGGGTTAGTTGTGAGTGGCGGGAAGGCGCGCCGATGTTGTCATTTTGTAGATAGGCGCGCTGGAGGAAGAGAACGACCTCTTGTTCGGCGACCGTCGCGACGTCACGTTGTTGTCCATGCCGAAGGCATGGTGGACGATATGTTGCGGGTGCTCAATGGGGCGGAGGACTGATCATTGTATGCGACTTCCTCATGTAGTTTGGTGGCCCAAAGAGATTTAAAATACATAAGCATGGCTGTAGAAAGCCCCTTCTGTGTGATTAGCTTTTTACACGTAAGAACATAGACTGAAAGAGTAAACGTGAATGTACTACCTTCATCCCGTGTTAAATTGCAGTTATGATCTATGGCCCTGGAAAGCCCACTAAAATATCCTGGAATTTCACCAAAGTTTGTCACAACTTTGCAATGTAAGTTTGGTTTTTGCTTCCGAATTCTTGAGTCTATTGGCGGCATTGTAAATCCGCAGTGCCATTTCGAACAGACTCCACTTTTCAACAAACACCCCACTTTTTCAAGGTATTGCCGATACCGCCTGTTTTGAGGCCCTAGACCATGCCACCTTGCGGTGGACCCCACCGCGTCAAGCTACAGGAGCAGGAGACGCGATTTAGATTGCAGGTCGGAGTGGAGATATAGATGGGGAGGCCAGGCCGCCAACTCATCCAAAAAGGCAAGATCGAATATATCGCCCATTGATTTGTGACTTCGTGCCAAAACATTGAGACCTTCGGTAAGCCATTCCAGGATGCAATCAACGTTACCACTGAATGCACTTGTCCTGCACATGGCAAGGGAAATACAGACGTTCCAAAACACGGCGGGAGTAGTCTGCAGCCAGAGTTGACAAGATCGCGCCGCACAACCGGCGCACAATTTGCGGAATGGCGATGGAGGCAAAAGGCAGGCAGGATCCTCGATCACGCCTTTCAAGATGAGCTGGCTCAAGCTGGCTTCCTGCCCTATGCTTTTGCGTATCTGCTCCAAACTCTAGTTTGAAATGCATCTCTAAGTCGCACCATTTCGCGCAATTTGGGCCACTGCCAATGCCTGGAAACGGGCTGTCTCGAAGCCTTGGAATGCTTGGTTGAGCGACATGCGTTCAAGATGAGACTGCGGATGGAATACTTAACCGATTGACTCCAAAATTTGAGAGCATAAAACGGCAAAATAATTAGAATATTGTGACGAATTATTGTGGAAAAATCTGAAACGATCTGTTAGGTTTTCCAGGCCTATGTTTCATAGTTGCAGTTTAATATGGGATGGAGTAACTACAAGCCAAGCCTGCACACACTTGGCTTAGTTAGCTGGCTAGATTTTCCTTATCTCAATTCTGTGAAGAGCACTCTGGATAAAACCATTGGGGTGTGGGTTATAGAGCACTAATTCTCCTGGGGGGCGCAATGACAATTGACTGTCTCTTAATTCAGTAACTCAAGATAACATTTTGCCACGACTTGGCTTTAGTAGATGCCATTAACTATGAATTTGAACGGATTGAAAATCTGTTGTTGGTTGAATTGCAAATTATGCCGACTTCCCGTTGAACAAATCATGGACACTGCTCTGCTCGGGCAAAACTGGGAGCTGATGGCCGCCTCCGCGCCTTGATGTGTGACCATTGCCTGACGAATGGGGCCCGCAATGGAGAACATGCGCCACAATTCGGCCACCAATCGCCAATCCGAACCCCAAAAGACACGCGCCAAGGGTGAAGAGATTGCACCCTTTTCTGCACTATTGACCAGTCAACCCCGTCAGCTCCTCCCTTTCGACCGGCCCCTCCACATTCGCGCCAAGTTCCGTCCCAACAATCGCTCACTGCCAGTGCCGTTCCGCCACCCCCCTGGCCCTTGGCCTCGACGACGCCCTTGGGTGACGTCTGGCCCTGCGGTGTCTCCCCCCGGCCTTTTGGGTGAACCCTCCAAGCAGTCAGCCGCCACCCAGGGGGGCCAGATCTTTGTCCACAACCGGAGTCTGGTCCTGGCGGCGGCCCAAGAGGCGTTGGCAGGCGGGCTGGCCACGTTGGTTGGCAAGGTATACCGCCTCTGATCCAGCCCCGCCTCAACCGGACGGCGAAGAATATGTACTCGGCGTGACGGTGGGAAATAACGACTCAAGCAGTGGCGGCAGGTGTCCGAAGGGCTGAAATACGCCAATACGGCACCACCGCCTCTGATCCAGCCCCGCCTCAACCCCGGACGGCGAAGAATATGTACTCGGCGTGACGGTGGGAAATAACGACTCAGAGCGCGCTGGGCGCGGGTTGCAGCTGGCCTTGCATCCACGGCAGGTGTCCGAAGGGCTGAAATACTCTTGCTGCGCCTGGCGCCTCCCCATCATCAAGAAATTTTGCATATGAAGGAGAGGCGGGAGCCATCGGCTCACCGTTCCGGCTAAGCGAAACGGCGTCCGAAGAAGTGCCGTGCGCCTGGCTCCACGAGACGGAGCGGAGCGCTGGGCGTCCGGCGGGCATTGGGGTCCGGCGGTGGGTAGGGGTCGATCGGCAGCAAAGGCGGGGTTAAAGGAGGAAAAGCGGAAAAGAAGATAAGGAGTTAAAGGAAGAAGAAAAGAAAAGGGGCAGCAAAGGCAAAAAGGGATCCGCCCGCCCTGGAGGGATGCCCGGCCTGCCGCGCGTCTATCGCGAGGCGGCGGCCTCCTACGGCTACGTCCTCCTGTGGATGACCGTCTCCGCCACCGTCATCCTCTTCAACAAGTGGCTCCTAGCATTCTCGGGCTTCCCCTTCCCCATCTCCCTCACCCTCTGGCACATGACCTTCTGCTCGGCGGTGGGCTTCGCCTTCGTGCGAGTCCTGGGCGTCGTCCCCAGCCACGGGCTGTCGGCGGTCGAATACTGCCGGCGGGTGATGCCGATCGGCGCCCTGTACGCCGGCAGCCTGTGGCTGTCCAACACGGCGTACCTGCACCTGTCGGTGTCCTTCGTGCAGATGACGAAGAGCCTGATGCCGGCGCTGGTCTTTGCGGCGGGCACGGTGCTGGGCACGGAGAGGTTCTCCTGGCCAGTGGCGGGGAACATGGCGCTCATCGCGGGCGGCGTGGTGGTGTGCGGCCTGGGAGAGGTGGGCCCTTGGCGAGCAGCGCAGTTCTCTCCATGCAGTGCTTGCTGCTGTGCGACAGGAACTACGGCGCGCATGTGCCCCGTCCGTGCCACCCGCCCCCTGGAATCCTTGAACTGTTGGGTGGGGAATTTACGGGGTGAGGACAGCCCTCTTCCTTTGATCGACGGGACATCTCATCAGAGGTTGCCGGTTCGCTGCCCGGTCAGACATTCGCTTTACTACTCGCACTAAAACAGGAACCAAAATGCCCGAGAGCCGGGGTAGTCTGTGGCAGTTTGCGCCAATTTGGCGCCCGTGCTTGCGACTCTGAAGTACGGCCTCTTGCCCTAATGCCTTGGCATTGAGATGCCTGGCATATCAATGCCATATCGATATCTGTATCAATGCCGATATCTGGTCCAGATATCGGGGGTGCTTTCTCGTTGCTCAGCGGACTGCATGACAGGCCAAAATCAAATGGCCTTGGCCGAATAGCATTGGTCTCCGCACTGTGCTACAACCCGCCATGGCATTCGCTAAACGTGGCCCCAATGTGCGCCTGAAGTTGAAGGGAGGTTGTGAATAGTGGTATTGTCCCAAATTTTGCTTTAAAACGCATCCTGTTGCAGTGCTTCTGTCCGTCCTTGGGCCGTGCTAAATAGCGGGAAATCAACGCAACCATGGTGTTCATGTAAAACTGGTACCATATCCCGCAACTGCAAAGGGTTGCGGGGGGGACAATGCACACTGATCAATTCGACAATGTGTGTGGTCCCCCCAGGTGGACCTGGTGGCCACGGGATTGCTGCAACAGCTGGCGGCCCTCCTGCTCGAGGCCATGCGCCTGACCCTGGTCCAGGTGCTCATGACCTCCAGCGGCTACGCCATGAATCCCCTGCAGAGCCTGTACTACGTCTCTCCCGCCTGCCTGGCCTGCCTGCTGCTGCCCTTCTTGCGCCTGGAGCTCCCCGAGCTCCTGCTCAGGCTGGCGGACCCGGAACTACGGATAAGCGCGCCAGTGCTGGTGGCAAACGCCGCGGCCGCCCTAGCCCTAAACTTGGCCGTGTTCCTGCTCATAGGAAAGACGTCCGCCCTCACCATGAACATTGCGGGCCTGGTGAAGGACTGGGCGCTGGTGTTCCTGTCCAACACGCTGTTCGGGGCGCCCCTCACGGCCACGAACATGGCGGGCTACGTGTTCTGCTGCGCCGGTGTGGGCGTGTACAACTACCAGAAGCTTCAGGTGCTGAGGAAGCGGGTGGCGTCTGATGGGGGCAACGAAGATGTAGAGTCCGGGAAGGGACGCCGTCGAGTGGGGATCAAGTGAGGGCGGGGCAGGGAGAGTTGGGGCTGGGGGCTGGGGTGGAGGGTAAGGTGGCTGTCGTTGGGTCGCGGGTGTAGAATGAGCTATGTTCTCGGGACTGGACAGGATATCATAATGGAGAGGCGGGAATGTCTACACACGTGTGGTAAGAAGGGCCAGGGGCCTGGTGGACATGTGCCTCCATGGAGAAGCGAAACAGGCAGTTGGGGAGGGGGGGTGGGTGGGGGGGGTGGGGGGGTGTGGGGGGGCAACCCGGGAAAGCTGCAGCCCACCCAGCTGCTGAAAAGCGGGTGCTTAGTTTTCTCTTACATACTTAGGCAGTTGGAAAGCCAAAATAGGCAATGAAGAGGGCGAGCGTTGGGCGAGTGGATGGCTGAAGCACCAGGATTGAGAAGGAAGAAATGTTTAGTACTGACAGCAGCGTATTAAAGCTGGCCAGAATGGATCACTTGGAACGGTACTCTATCAACAAATTTGGCCACCACGCATAGTCATCGGCTCGGTGCCACTGGTTATGACGTCGGCCGGGTATTGGCGATGGTTAGTGACAGCCCTAGGAAAAATGTTATGTATCCTGGTCACGTACATCGAACGTCCATTCGACATCCCCGACACCGACCATGATGATTGCTGGATCAACCGAAAACAATGCATGGGGTAAAGCCCCATGGTACTATCTTGAGCTATTGGCAAACCAGCAAGGAAACCATGTGCTCTCTCTCAATCGTATGAACTGCGGAAATCGATAGGCAACGCCGGGCGATGTTGTCTGTCAGCATATATGTGTACCGTGCAGGTGAGATTCCACCTTCACAAAATTTTCGCTTTTGGAAGGTGTGAAGTGCTCCAAGTGAACGCTGCCAGTTCCCGGCACAGCAGCTCGCGAAATGCCAATCAATGTAAATTTCACAGATCTTGCACAGGGATTTAGTCATCGTCCTTGGAGCAGACAATCTCCCAGCTTTGTAGATGCCGATTTGGCGGCTTGGAAGCCGCTACCAGTACGACTTGTGCCCCGCCTATTGTCCAGCAACGTCACCAGGCAATTTCGCCAAACTGCTGCTGTTTGTGGCACCACAGTTCGCAAGCGTCCTTGTTGCTGGTTTGCAGCTGCGTGTCAAGTCCAGACCTCGCCATATGCTGACTGAATGCCCAGACATACCACACTGCTGGTTCCACGACATGCCGCCCAGTGAAACTTGTACGTGCCAGTGGCGATATGATGGCAGGCGTCCAATCATGAGAATTACAAATGAATGTTCGCAGTTGCCACGGCAATGCTTGGCAATATTAGTGCAGTTATTTTCATCCTGTGGCACACGTAATCGCGATCGGTTACACACTCAGAAGGATCTCCGAGTTCGATGGAGCAGCTGATCGGTGCAGTTTCGAGATGTCCTGGCACTAACATGAAAGAGAAGTGTTCAGAATGCCTCTTTGTGGTTCGTGGAGGCCAGGCTCAGGTCATGTCCCATGTCAATGGCCAGCGCAAGCTCCACCATACAAGAGGTTGTGCCAGGCATGGCCCATTGATTTGCATGCACCTGAGCATGGCCCCTGCAGGGACTCTCACCTGACCGTGAGGCAGACAAAGCTGAATGGTCAACGAATATTGATTGGTGCACATATACATGGACCACCACACATCTATACTACAACACTCCACTGCCCATCTCCCGTGCACTATGTGTGGAAAAACCATCTGCAGCACTGTTAACCTCCTGCTTGGGGCCCGGGCTGCTGTTGCTGTGTTTCCGCCAATGCCTTGGCCCATGCGTTGAGGAACCACTCATTCCCCTTCTGCAACACCTTTCCCAGGCCTCTTTCTGTGGCCTTTGAGTTCACTGGGCCAGATGTGCGCTGCACCCCCATCACGAGGTCCCCGAACTCCACAAAATCTCGACCACCCCTGGCGGCCAACAGGGCAGCCTCGTTCACTGTGTTTGCTAGGTCTGCCCCTGAGAAGTTGTTGGTCAGCCTGGCTATTGCCTCTGCCGCGGCTTCCTTCTTGGCCTGGCTGCCCATGGGCACATCCCTCAGATGGACACCCAAGATCGCCTGCCTGCCGGAGATGTCCGGCAGCGGCACGAGCACCTTGCGAGTGAGCCGCCCGGGTCTGAGCAGAGCCGGATCGAGTGTATCTGGCCGATTCGTGGCTGCGAGAAGGACGATCCCCGGGTTGCCTTCAAAGCCATCCAACTCCACCAGCAACTGGTTGAGAGTCTGGTCACGCTCGTCGTTGTAGCTGTAACCCCTCCTGCCCCCCACAGCGTCGATCTCGTCTACGAACACGATGCAAGGACAGTTCTTTCGGGCGTCCTTGAACAGGTCCCGTATTCTTGCGGCGCCCCGGCCCACAAACATCTCCACGAATTCCGAGGCCGAAGCCGAGAAGAAGGGCACCTCAGCCTCCCCGGCCACCGCCCGGGCCAGCAAGGTCTTCCCCGTGCCGGTGGGGCCACAGAGGAGCACCCCCGATGGCGTCTTGGCATTCACCTTTGTGTACCTCTCTGGGCTCTTCAGCAGCTGCACCACCTCCATCAGCTCCTCCTTAGCACTGTCCAGGCCTGCCACGTCCGCGAACTTCACCTTGGGGCCGTCGGCCGCCTTGGAGGACTTCTTCCCCTCACGAGACGACATGGTCCGCCGGAGGAACCAGAACAACGGAACGAGCGGGATCCACAGCACTGCCATGTACCCAATGGCCTTCGTGAACAGCCTCTGAAAGGACGCCCCCACCACGCCGAACCTCACCCCAGCAGTCCTCAGGCTGCCCGCCAGCACAGTGTTGCCAGGTATGTTCCTCACCGTGACTGAACGGGGGATTTTCGGCTTCATGACAGGCCGGGATTGGCCAGCCTCGCCAGGGGCCCCTGCCATTGCCTGTACCTGGGCCTTGCCTTTCACCTGGCCCTTTGCCTCACTTTGCGAAGTGGCTGCCTGCTGCTCGGCCACCAGGCGCTCCACCACCTCCGGTTTCAGGGTCAGGTGCATCCGGTCAGAGTCCTCCTCGAATGCCACGGCCTGGATGGCGCCCTTGTCCATCAGGGACACGAAGTCCGAGTACAGGATCTCAGGGGGCCTCTCCCTGACGGCGTACGCGTACAGGATCAACGAAACGGTGAAGATCATGATCGCCTCCAGCCGAGAGAGGCGCGTGATCTTGAGCAGCGCACGCCAGAGGCGGCCGGCCGCCACTACGCAGAAGGCCACCGTGCGCAGGACGCACATCACCAGCCACGGCGGCCGCTTCGGGGACCTGGGCCCATCAGCCCCCGGCGCCTTTTTCAATCCTCTCCTCTGGCCCCCCTCCGCCGGCGCGTCCCCATTCTTTGGCGCGGGCTCCGCATCCGCCTCATCCCCGCCGCCGCTCCCAGGCCCCCCGCGTCCAACCCGACTGGCCAACCCCTTCCCCGCGCCACTCCCCACCAGCCGCCGACGAACGCCGATTCTCCCGCGCCAGCGATCAGAGTAGCTGGCCCTCCCGACAAAATGCCCCGTCAAGCCCTCTTCTCGGCAGGCACGACGATCGACGCCCGGCAGCGCTCGGCAGCGCCCAGAGGCGGCCGGAGATTGGCAGTGGGATGGCCTCGGCCGCGGAGCACGGCACGGCGCTGGGCGATCCGATCGGTGGGGTGTCGACGAGGCGCCGGTGGCTGCCATGCCGCTGTGCGCGGGCTACCCACGCCTCCTTCGCGCGCACGGGAGGCGGCAGCGGAGCATCAGGTCGGTCGCTGGCTCGGCCACACCGCTCTGCCATCCCCTGTCGCCAAACGATCCTTGAATTTTCTCACAGAAGCAATTTTAGGCACTTGTGGACCACACGTTTCTTTTAGTCCTTACCGGGCCAGCAAAGCGGTCCCTCTGTCTTTTTTCTGATTGTCGATTCTTGTTTCGGCACCCTAAAACCCAAACCACTGACCCGCTGACCCACGTTGCCCTTGTTAGCAGAAGTAGAAGGGAACTTCAAGGAAAAGAAATGGGGACTAATACGTTGTCCTGGGGTAAAGGGCGAGGGCCCCAGGGCACAGGCCGTAGGGCCGGTGCTGTCCACCACGACGAGGGAGACGGATGGCCTGCATGATGGTGCGAGTGACTTGTGGTGCGTCCTGATTGGGACATTTTCCAGCGCCTTCTTTCGACCAAGACGTCCATTTCTAAGAAAACGCCGAAGCGAAATTCCGTAAAGTGGCCCTGATGACCCCAAAACTCAATCAACTTTCACAGGGTGTTTTCGTCCAACAATGCAGAGAAACATTACCAAGAAAACATATATGATTCTCATGCACACTCTTCGCTGGGGACCAAAAGTTGGTCGTCAATCAGCTCGCGCAGTTTTACGAGTTGGCACTTCAACCACAGCAACAGCAATTCCTTGACGGCCAAAGAAGAGGTGTTTGCCTGCCCCACAAAACAGGCCATATCCAGCGGCGCCTTGAACGCTGCGCAGCCGGGGAGTGGCGCGGGGAAGGGGCCCGTCTTGCGGTCAGCCTTTTGGCCGCGATGACCAGCTACAACAACACGAAGGACCTGACGGACTTCAGCTGGCGCGATGAGCTGTGGCTCCAGTACAACCCGCTGGACGAGGTGACGGTGCTGCGGGACTACTTCGCCCTGTCGCCGTTCTACGATCCGGAGTGCAACAACGAGGTCGCCAAGATGAGGAACCTGGACATCTCCATGCTGCCGTGAGTTGAAAGTGCGCCAGTGGACAGGAGGTTGAAATCACCGGTCTCGGCTTTTGGCCGTTCCAGTGTCCTTTGGATGGCTGGCGCGGCCTGTGGCCATCACCAAGATGATGACAAGGCGGGGGTTCAGCAACAAGAATGAGAGGGGAAGTGGGAAGGGACTCTGGCACAAGGGGAGGGGGAAAAGGTTGAATGGATAGAATAGGGTGCAGATGGAACAGAACGTTTGGAATGAAATAGGCATCTCTATAATTTTCATGTGGTGCAACACGTGAGTGATGGCGTGGTCGCGTGCATGTTCTTGTCCAGGGCAGCATGCACTCCCTGCAGACAGATGCACATCCATCTTGCACCTGTTCCCCACAATTCTGTTCCAACATGTCACATCACAATGGAGATTCCAGGTGCCAGAGAAAGGTCGTGGCCTTATGCTGCAAACAAAGAGTTGCAAGGTGGTGCAAAACCTCACAAGTTGTTTGTGTCCCTGTTCCCCTGGCGAAGTCCTTGTCTGGGACAAGGTCAAGGCCGCTGAACACTTGAAGAAGTTTATACAATCTTCCTCTAGATGATATCAGGCTGCTGGCCATGCTGCCACCCTTGCAGAGGATTGCTTCTGTATCCCAAAAAGCAGCACATTCAAGCGCTTTTCTCAAGCATACTCTCAGGTGAAACCCAGATTGTGGGGTGCTTCCAGTTTTCGCTCACTGTGGGGCAGCATCGTAGCAGCACCACGGATGGCAGAGATCCCCTGATACCCCACCCCATTTATCTTCCTACTTGCATCCCACCATACAGGGGCTGAATGCAACCCACAGATGTTTCTTGCGACTTCCAGGGTCGGTTGTTTGGACGTTTCTGTGTCCATCATTGCCTGCAAGCAGCAAAGGCTTTGTCTTGGCCATTCTGATGGCCATCCTTGGATTGTAGTGCTGGGTCCAAATCCAGTGTGCAGTGTCTGTGGTGGGTTGACCAAGCTCAAAGTAGACAGGTTGACTGCAATATGGGATACTCGAACATCTGGGGATTAGGAATTGATGCTCATTGACTTCTGTTGCCTTGGAACACATGTTGACAACTTCGTGTCAAACTCTAGATGCATCTGTTCATTGCGAATTACCTGATGCATCAATGCCACACAAGGTGAACATGCTGCTGCTCCTGCTTAAGTACTTTGTACATAAAATATTGCAAAGTAGCAGATGGTCATATGTTGTGTAATATTATTTGTAAAGTGCTGCAGAATGTACTGTGTAAAGTATTTTGAAGCTGGATATGTGTCATGTTGCCTGAAGTGGCTTAATTCTGCTTTGCAGGATCCTGCCGCCTGGGGTGGAATATGTTGTGCAGTCCTCCCAGGAGCCCCACTTGTACATCATCCGCAAGCAGTACCGCTACAACCCCACAACCACCACCACACAGGTGCCATTTGCTGATGCATGCCACCCGTGCATTGCTTTGGTTCACATTCCTTCTCGTTGCCGACAGAATGTGGACATCACACCGGCTGCAGGTCACTCCTACACCACTTTCAGGTGGAAAGGGGTCAGCGCTTGCTTGTCAGGATCTGGTCCTTGGTGCATTTTGTTCAGCTTGTTGTCATGCTTCCTGAACCATGTTGCAACTGTGCAGGCATTCTACTACGTCCACACTGGCACTGTCTACCAGGCACCCTCGCTGCACGCGGCCATCTTGTCACGATGGAAACGTTGCCTCTTCTGTGTGACCAAGGCCTTCAGGCGCATACGAAGTGACCTTGACCCCTTGGGCGAATGGAAGAGTGTTGGCGGCAGGGAAGGGTCCTGGCCGGGTAAGGTGCCCGAGGTTAAGCGGGCGCTGGCCAAAGACCAACAGGAGAAGTTACTGGAGGGGTCCCGCTTGATATCTGGAGCCCTGGCAAAGTGAGATCTACAGACCAGTGTGCAGTTGTGTTCACGCCGATCCTGTGAATGCTATTTTCATGTCCAGACCTGAATGCCTTTTAGAATCCAAGTGCACCCCCCCCCCCCCTTTGTTGCGGATGAGTTGTGGGCCTTGCTGTGTCCCACAGGGGGCTAACCATCCCAGTCAAGTTGACACGTTGCTTTGCTTAATCTGCACAGGGCACAGAGCAGCCCCTGAAATGTTGGGGAAGTCCTTCTTGAATCCAAAGTTGGAGATTATTCTGTGTTGACGAAGGCTTTTCTGTGTGGACTAAGGCTTAAAGACAGGTCAAGCAATTAATACCCCTCCTAGTAAGAGCACATCGTGCCCTCCTCATTTTGCAGTGCTAAAAGAACTGCAAGCTGCAAGGTTACAAAAAAGTCGCATGTTATTACAACATGCACACACTCTGATGATGTCTGTCTGACTGCAGACTCACTCACCAGTGCATGTTCAGCTGTTTGTGTACTCCCATGGTGAGCGTGCATCTGCATATGCAAAACGTACACCAAGGTGGAAAAGGCAGCAAAGGCCTTGTGATAGAAAAGCGTCTTGAACTCAGATGCAAGACAATGGTGTGCCATACCCATTTTGTCCCATGCGATGCACATATGACTTTACCATACGGGGATCATGTGCACAATAGAGTGCTGTATCATCTTCAACAGGTTATGGAATCTATATCGCTGTCTGGCAGGCACTTCAAGTTTGAAGTGTATGCAAGAGTTCCTTTCATTCGCTGGATGTGTCCAGCAGTCTGTCGTGATCGCTGTTGTTCAACACCAGTCACAAACACATTGAATGCATGTTTGTTTCATTCTGAATTTCTTTCTGGAATATGGCTTGCATGTGGTTTTGCTAGGCAACATGGGACCCTTGCACCTTGCCTGTTCCATGCCGCATATATGCACGTGTATGCATGCATGCACTTGCACTACGGCAACTGCCACATGATCTCTTGGAGCCCTGCCATGGTAAGGTCTTTAGCATGCAGAATGCAACATTGACTGGATATCAATGTCGTCTTAAAGAATATCAACGTACACCCGTGATGTGAAATTGACAACTGTATGCAAGGGGAGCGGCCCTTCCTTTTCACCAGTCAGCACACCTTCATGCCATTGGCAGCGTTTGCGCAAGGACCACTTTCCTTTCACCAGCCAGGCGACGTACCGCATAGCCACGATGATCACCATTGGTGCAAATCGGTGTTGCGGGCGTTCCAGGTTCACAACGCCAGAGGGGTTACCTCTGCCCCGAGCACCAGCAGCTGTGGCTCCCGGAACCGGTACGCCACCAGCGTCCAGCCAGATGCCAACAGCCTCACCACCGAACGCGACGGGGACGCCCGGGGAGCCGTCGCTGGCCACCACAGACTCCTTGAAGCAGAATGCTACGGGAAGAACGGACGGCGACGAGCGGGAGGTGACCAAGAGGCAGCGCACAGCATGATGGACTGGAATTTTGTGGCAATCTGGACAAGTCAGAAGTGCTATTTTTGTGGTGGTTTGTTTTTTTATTCCCATGGATTCTATTTTACTATGGACGGCGGAACCCTGCCCTTGCAGCTTGTGGGAGTGCGCGAAATAGGCCGTTTCACGTAGGTTAGTTAATTGTGTGAATCGTGTTAGATGCCTGTAATTGTGCATTAGGAGTGTAAACAGCATTAGATGGCACCCTGTCTTCTCAGCGGTGTTTTGGTGCTATCGTTGTTGTGATGTGCTGCAACTGGTCGCTCAGTGGGAATGGCCCAATTCCTGTCCGCGCGTTCCAGTCAACATTTGCATTCAGCGCCTGCCAGCAATGGAGAAGTGAAGCTCGTCGGTTGCGCAACTGCTGTGTCTCTCCAGTGGAGGTGAACCCCATTGCAGGAATGCGCTGCCAATTTTTGCTTCAGTGATCCGTGCATTCCGCCAGAATGAGCCGATTGTCCACTGTCAGCGAGCCATTCTTCATCGCCGCTCCTCCATCTTTGTCTCTTCGTTCCGTCGATTCTCATGTGCTACCACGGGATATCTGGTTGGTGCTACACAATGCCTGCAGCCGAAAGGGCAGATTTTAGCCCCATCAGACAGCGAAGGCAGTCATGGGGCAAGCTTTTTGCTGGAAAATCTGGTGCGTAGCACTGTTTTAGTTAAAACAGGCCAAAATACACGGATTTGAAAATCGCGTAACATGCAACACGATTGAATATCGTTTGAAAATTGTGTTCAGTCGTGTATTTATAGTGTATTTGTCGTATGGAATGGGATCAAACCATGTAGGAACAATTGAACGAGTGTACTTGATTTCTGCATGGTTTTACACGCTTATGCACGAGGTTTACAGGATTCAAAACCATGTAGTATGGCCGATTTTCTACTTGTGTAGGTGGCGCGCTTGCTGTTCTTCTATTTCTGGCCTGACAGTCGTCCGTCGAAAGACCTATGCAGTTTGATCGCTCATATCAATTGCATCCACACATCTCACCACGATGAAACATGTGCGCAACACACATCGCGAAAATTGAAATTTGTCCCTGTACAACTGGCAGTGGGCAAATGACAGCCCTGAAATTGCAGATGCCCTATTTCTAGAGAGTACTCCATGGCCGTATTCATGGACCTAATTGCTCAAGGCGGCCACGCGTGTGTCGGTGCCAGGTGAGAAAGATGGCGCGCGGAAGCCTGCCCATCACGGAATTCGAAACATTGGTGAAAAAGAAAGGAGACGCAATGCCCCCCAACACAGGGCTGGAATCAGACGCCCGTGATGGACAGCAGTATCCGCTGAGTCCATCCTACCGGTCTCCGCTCCATGGGAATGATTAGCTAATTTCCCTGATCTCTAATGATTGCTCTGCCAAGCTGCATTTGCTTGCGGGGCTGCAAGGAAGACATATCTGTAAATGTCGATGACTTGTTGGCATCATGTGGCTCCGCAGCGGGGGTTATTTACACTTTAAGATGCTTTCTCTCACAAATCGAGTTCATATTGCCTATTGGTGTCTTCCTTAGGAGATGCAGTTCACTGATTTCAAAACGAAAGCCGGCGCACCACATGGGTGGCACATGAATCACGCACGACCACGTGCGCTGCGCGCGATGGCCCTTCTTCATTTTCAAGGCCCACCTTCGTCCTCCCTTCGAGGGCTCCCCGTTGCAAGTCTTCGTTTCGAACAAGCAAGTCCTGCTGTTGTCAGCTTGCGTCAAATGGTGTCAGGAGGGCTCACTCACGCATGTTGTACTTGTGCACCACCGAGATGTTCGCTACTCCGCCCCTGGACCGCCAATTCGTTAGACGTTTGTGGGGTTACCGGCCTTTGGTTGGCCCCTGATCGGCTTCAGGATCACTACGCATCCAAGCGAGCCACCGTTGGCACGCGGCCACCTGAAAGGAGCCGTTTTGCATCAGTTTCTATAATCCAGGCGAGAGCGTTCCAAAATTCTTTAGGAATTCTGTATAACGTGTAGGAATTTTGGACAATATCCAGGCCGCGGGTGCCTGTTGCGTGGATGCACAGTGACAAATGTTGGCGACTACGTAATTCAATTCCAGGCCTGGATAATGTTCAATTCCTGGAAATGGCGTGTGGGTGGTGAGTCCAAGAAGTGTGACAGCGAGTCCCAAAAATCCACCGATGTTTTGGGCCTTCAGTCCCGCGCTTCCCATGTCATGCATAATGCAACGTGGGAGCCTGCAGGTCGTCGCGAACGCGACCTTCACCCGTTGCGAGTCGCTCGCCTCACGAGGACCCCTCGCTCGTGCTCTCGTCGCTCTGCTCCGTCTCCTCCGTCGTCTCGTCCTCGCTCTCGCCCGACCCGCTCACCGACTCGCCCGTGCGAGCCACGGACGACTCGGAGACCGTGCTGGGCAGCGTCGTCTGCCGCGACAGCTCGCCCGTGCCCTTGGACGTCCCACCGCCCGACGCTGTTGCCATGCTCGAAGTCAGGCTGGCAGAAGACCCCCTGTTCAGCAGCTTCTTCCCCAACTTCCCCGCGCCGCCCGCCCCAGATGACGTCCCCGACACTTTCCTCGGCATTTTCTTACCCCCGCTGACTCCGGCTGCCGTCTTGTCGCCCGCCTCTGGCCTGTCCGTCCCCAATCCCCTTGTCGGGCCAATCGCCGTTGGGGTCCTCTGCGCCCCGCCCACGGCTTGCGCAGCAGCTGTGGGCGACTGGCGGCATTTGGCGCACGCCAGCTCGCTCTCCATCGATTTCAAGGGCGGCAACTTGGCCCCTTGGCCGGTTGGTGTCGCAACAAAGGCGCTCCCCAGGCCCGGCTCCAGCTCCTCCACGGCCATCGACGGCAGCACGCCGAAACCGCCCATCAGCTGGGCGTCCTTCTCCACCAGCCGCGTCTTGAGCGCAGCCACCTCCCGCGCGTACTTCTTGGTGACGTCCAGGAGCTCGTTCTGGGCCGCCACCGCGGACGCCTCGGCCCTCTCCGCCCGCATGATCGACCCCAGTCTCTCCCTGTCCACGCGACCCCAAGCCTTAGAACTGTGCAGGGACGTGGGCTTGCAGTTTGCCCGTCTGTTTGTCTCCACCTTGCATGGATGCATCGATATGGCGTCACGGCATCTATCAATGTAGAGCACGAATCCTGTGCGCGAGGGGCACGTCTGCGCCCGCCTATGCCACCGAAAGCGCGCCTCCAAAGGGTGTCACGGCTGCCACCGAACCACGACAAGCTCCCCCACATGGGAACGTCGGTGGACGTCTCTACGTAGAGAGACAGGGGGCACATGCGCTGGGGACTCAATAGCTGAACCGCATTCGTGCGCCGGCACGTGGCATGCTTCGGTGTGCCTCACGGTGCCAAGCAGAAGTGGTGACGATTCCATCGCCCGATTGTGTCAGGCAGCCTATCCAAATGAATGGGCTCATACATGGTGCTTCTTGATGCAAGGCGGCCGTCCCGCAGCCACACACACAACGAATTCACGGCAATTGTGAGCACGTAATAGCAGCGCAACTGCAAAAATACCGGCATCAAAGGGAAAACATGAAAGGGAATTCCATACGCTGCCTTCATGCAAAAATCCAGGACGGTCATCACCTCATTGCATCGAATAAATGCACCGTACAGAACCGCATCTCTATGCATGCTCACGAGCATGAATATGCATGTGGCAATGGCCATGTGACACGACACCACCATAGCCAAACACCTGACGCCACCCACCGGCCTGAGGGCCATATAAACAGCCTGAATGCATGCGCATGTCCACAAGATCCAAAGGGGCCCTTCGTCTTTAGAAGGCTAACGTAAAAAAAAAGTTCCTTTGTTGCAAAGGCATTCCGCCGATGCCAGCCAGGACTGGAGATACCGCCACCAAACACTAGTAAAGAACACGCCAGACGCCACAGTCATGTCACGGTCTGCCCAAAATCCGATTGTGTGCTTCCGGCGAATGTGGTTCCAAAACTACACATTTATTACACGCATTGACACAATTTCAACACACTTTCGACGGTGTACCCTCGAAAACAGTGTAGACTATCCGTTTTTGCCAGGGTACACAGTTTAAGTTGTGTCAATGTGTGTACGAAATGTGTGGTTTTGGAACCATATTTGCCGGAAGCACACAATTGGATTTTGAGCAGACCGTGTCATGACTGTGCCATCTGGCATGTTTTTCCCTAGTGAAAAGCAAGGCTAATGCGACAAGATTTGGTCCCATATTAGCAGGGCATAGGCCTCAATCACGCGAACCTGTCCCATTAAAACAGTTTTGATGCAGCTAGAAACCGTACATATGGGGATTCGGTACGCGTTGATGCCACGTTGATGGGGTTTGATGCAAGCGGGTCAATGAACAATGATCATTGGTGAGCTGCACTTGAGTCAATGGATCGTGGCGTCGTCGTTTACCAACCCTGCAACAAAGCATCTTGATGCAACATTCCACAAAAGCAGTGCTACAGCAATGCTGCATCAACGACCCCATTTGTCAGCCCTGGGATATATATGGAAGTTTGGTGGGCTTTCGTGCAAAACTGATAGGCGCTTGTTCAACGCTAACCCCTTCAGGGGTCGTGTTTGTAGAGCGGCGTTAATGCAGGAGGTTGTCAATATTGCATCAATGCCTACCAAATTTCCGCATGTATGAAATGGTCAATATCTTGCCAGTGCTCCGGCCTCGCCTGTCCGCGTCCCTCCGAGCCACGATGGCGGCCTCCTCGCTCCGCCTCGCCGCCTCCAATTGTCCCTTCAACGCCCCCATCTCCCCCCCGCCACCTCGCTCAGCCAGCCGCCTGTTCTCCTCCTCCGCCCGGCGCAGCCGGCCCCGAATCTCCTCCACCTCCTTTCCCGACGCCTTCCCTGAAGCCAGTGCCGCCTGCAGGGCCGCTATGACGCGCTCCTGCTTCTTGATCGTCGCCTTGCACACCTCCACAATTGACAGGACCTTGCGCCTTTCAGAAACGGATAGGTGAGCGAGCTGTTGTATCAAGAGACGCACGGTATAGCCAAGTTTTGGCATCACGCTAGAAAGGCACTTGCATTTGTCGTCTGTCCGTCAAGACGCAACCACGTTCACATGCACATGCACATTGCGCACCTCCACACCCTTGGCGGCGTCCTGTGCCCTGGCGTGCAGCTTGGACTGCTGAAAATGCGC